CCCTCCATCTCCCCTCCCCCTCCCTCCCTCTCTTTTCATTTTGGAGCTACTATTAGTCAACTACATGATAGTTGAGAATGATGCCCTGATATGTTAAATGTTTACTCTCTTATTATCCACTGGTTTGTCTTATTGTAGTTCCTAGGAGATATTCTTGACTTAGTTTCTAACCTTTTTATTGATTTTTTTGGCTTTTATATCTCAAATTTCTAGAACTCTTTTAGTCTAAAAATTTGTTTTTTCACTTCTTCCTTTTTTTAGATTTCATTTTGTTTGATAGCATCCTGTTCTTTATTCAGCTCCCAAGGATTTTAATGATAATTTTTTGAAGCTCACCTGTTGTTTGTATTGGCTATGTTCACTTGGATTCCTTTTGGGTCTGTATTGGCTATTTCCTCAGCATTGCGTGGTTGGAGTGCCATTCTGTATCTAAGATGGAGGCACTGTGCTCACTTAGCAGCGCCGCAGGTGGGCACTGGGGGGGTGGGCAGCCCCAGAAAACCGGCCCTTGGAGAGATTCCCAGATGAGTGTTTTCAGGTGCTGTGGGGGCAGATCTGCTGGCTGCTGGTCCTTTCCCGCTCTTGGGCAGAGGCTTGGTTTTCTCTGCGTTTGCTCTCCGTGTGCACAGATCGTTTTCCTGGGCGCCTCTCTGTTGCAGTGTCTCGACTTCTCTTGTCCTCGTTCACTTACACCCTTTTTATTCATTTGCTGTCGTCTCACTGGCCTCAGTGAGATAAATGCATGTATTCAGTATGCCAGATTTAACCAGAAGTTGGAGGGTATTTAGATATCATAGGCATCTTTTATAGAATTATTTAGTATTTGTAATCATCACCTTCAAGAACTATGTAACGTTCTGCTGAGTAAAGATACTATGGTTGATGTAATTGTTCGTCTGTTGTGACTTCAGGTTACTTCTGATTCAAAAAGCATCATTCACAGTTACTACTCAGACATTAGATGAAAAAGTGCAGACAGATAGATGGCTGTTTTTATTAGCTCTTTATTGACTTTTTAATTTTGTCTGTTACATGTTTAGTTAGTACACAATTAGGTAGTACAAGTATCACTATTTTCTCTTAAAAAGTAGCCTGTGTAATAATTCTTTGAAGAAAAAAATGAGTCTTTGTTAATTGATAATCAACTATATTGGTGTGCTTTGTGATTTACTATTCTTTATGAAAAGTGTACATTTTAATAAACAAAAATTTTGGATAGAGTTTAAATATACTGATACTTTGTTAATGAAGAGTACAGATTTTATTTTGTACAATTGATTTTTTAATTTAGTATTTTGCTTTCATAAAATTTAATTGCACTTACATCTAGAAAAATGAATCAAAATGAATTTTAAATTACGTATGTGTTTGATATCTTAAAAACTATTTACAATTTAAAAAATAAGCTTTCTGTTATTTGTATTGATACTAATTTTGATATTTACCATTCTGCTTAAGCATCAGTTTCTAAAGAATTGATTAAGTACATAATTCTATCATATACTCAATTCAATAATATTTAAAAGGAAATCATTGTATTTCTGTTTTAAAAGCTTTTTAAAATCAGTTTTGTTTCATACTGTGTCTTATTACAATGGTTGATCTTTATAATTTGAGAGCCTTTGGTGCCGTGGGTCAAATAGTTTTAGATGCTGTTGACAGAAAAGAGAAGTGTGCAGAGTAACTGTAAGAGAACTTTGGGTTCTGACTATTTTATGAAAACAATAGATAATATGTAAAATCTTGCTGCCACAGTAAAGAGAACATGGATATAGTTATTTTCTGCCCTCTAGGATCAAGCTGCTTGAAATAATATAAACTTAATGTTTATTTTGTCATCTCTTTTCTTGATTCTAAATAATGTATATAAATACATTTTAAAGTTATTTGTTTTTTTATAGTTACCTGCCTTGGTTTGAAGTATATTACAAGCTTCTAAATACTCTGGCAGATTACTTGGCTAAGGAACTGGTAAGCTATGTTTTTTTCCCTATTTTGTTTTTATTGTGGTTAAATATACATAACATAAAACTTACCATTTTAACTATCTTTAAATGTACAGTTCTGTGTCATAAAGTACATTCACATTGTTCTCCAACCATCAACACCATCATCTCTAGAACTTTTTTATCTTCCTGAAACTCTGTTATTTCCCATTTCTCCTCTTGAGTCCCTGCCAACAACCACTGTACTTTCTATGTGAATTTGACTACATACTTCACGTAAGTAGGATCATAACAGCACTTGTCCTTTCCTGAGTGGCTTACTTCACTTAGCGTGTTTTCAAGGTACATCCACGTTGTAGCATGTGTCAGAACTGCCTTCTTTTTTAGCCTAATACTCCCTTGCATGGACGCACATTTTGTCTATCCATTCATCTTGGACACTTGGGATTCTTTGACCTTTTGGCTGTTGAACAAGGGCATGCAAATACCTGAGTCCCTGTGTTCAGTTATTTTGAATATATGCCCAGAAGTATAATTGCTGAATATGTTAATTTTGTGCTTAATTTTTGGAAGAGCCACCGTAATATTTTTCACAGTGGTTGCACCATTTCACATTTCCAGCAGCAATTGACAGGGTTCCTATTTCCCCATATCCTCCCAACGCTTATTGTCTGTTTTTGTTTTGTTGCTTATTGGTATTACTTTCAGGTGTACAACATAATGATTAGACCTACACTGCAAAGTTTCAACGCAATAAGTCTGGTTACCATCTGTCATCATACAGAGTTACACGTTTTTTTTTTTCTTATAATGGGGATTTTTTAAGATTTACTTTCTTAGCATCTTTCAACATACAATGCAATATTATTTATGATAGTCATCATGCTGTACATTATAGCCCCTTGACCTGTTATTTTATAAGTGGAAGTTTGTACCTCCTGATTCCCTTCACCCATCTTGCCCATCTCCCCAACCTCCCTCCCCTCTGGCAACCACTAATCTGTTCTCCATATCTTTTTGTTTTGTTTTGTTTGCTTGTTTGTCTTGTTTTTTAGACTCTATGAATAAGAGGAATCTTACAATATTTGTCTTTGTCTGACTTATTTCATGTGGTATAATGCCCTCAAGGTCCATCCATGTTGTCACAGCTGGCAGGAGTTCATTCTTCTTTATGGCTGAGTAGTATTCCATTGTATATACATATCATATCTTCTTTATCCATTAATGACACTTTGGTTGTTTCAGTATGTTTGCAATTACAAATAATGCTGCAATGAACATGGAGTGCATATATCTTTTTGAATTAGTGTTTTTATTTTCTTTGGAAAGACACCCGGTAGTGGAATTGCTGGATCATGTGAAAGTTCTATTTAAAAATTTTGAAGAACCTCCACAATTTTCCACAGTGACTGTACCAGTTTACATTCTTACCAACAGTGTACAATGGTTCCCTTTTCTCTACATCTTCACTGACACTTACTGTTTCTTGTATTTTTGATACTAGCCATTCTGACAGGTGTGAAGTCATGTCTCATTTTGCTTTTGATTTGCATTTCTCTCATGATTAGTGATATTCAACATCTTTTCATGTGCTTATTGTCCATCTGTATTTCTTTGGAAAGATGTCTGTTTGGATCGCTCCAATGCCCTTTATAATCAGGTTCTTTTTTGTTGTTGTTACTAAGTTATATGGATTCTTTATGTATTTTGGATATTAACCCCCTATCAGATACATGATTTGTGAATATATTCTTCCATGAAGTAGGTTATTTTTCATTTTGTCAGTAGTGTCCTTTGCTGTACAGAAGTTAGTTTGATGTTGTCTCATTTGTTTATTTTTGCTTTTGTTTCCCTTGCCTTTGGAGTCAAACTCAAAAAATAATCACCAAGACCAGTGTTAAGAGCTTACTGCCTGTGTGTTCTATGAGGACTTTTATGGTTTCTGGTCTTCCATTCAAGTCATTAACCCATTTTGAGTTAGTTGTTGTTTATAGTATAATAAGTTGTCCAGTTTCATTCTTTGCATATGGATGCCTAGTTTTTCTAACACCGTTTATTGGAGAGAATGTCCTTTCCCTGTTGGATGTTCTTGCCTCCAGTGTCATAAATCAGTCGACCATGTCTGCATGGGTTTATTTCAAGGCTCTGCACTCCATTCCATCGATCTTTGTATCTGTTTTTATGCGAGTACCAAACTGTTCTGAATGCTGTAGCTTTATGATGCAGTTTGAGATCAGGGAGTGTGATGCCTGCTGCTTTGTTTTTCTCAAGATTGCTTTGGCTATTGGAATCTTTTGTGCTTCCCTACAAATTTGGGGATTTTTTTTTGTTCTAATTCTTTTAAAATGATTCTTCCAATTCATGAGCACAGAATATCTTTCCATTTATTTTTATCATCTTCATTTTTCATCAGTGTCTTACAGTTTTCAGTGTACAGGTTTTTCACCTTTGTGGTCAAATTTATTCCTAGATATTTTATTCTTTTTCATGCAGTTGTAGTAAGTAGGATTGTTTTATTAATTTCTTGATAGTTCATTGTTGTATATAAAAACACAACAGATTTTTGTATATTGACTTTGTACCCTGCAACTTTGCTGAATTCATTTTTAGTTCTAACAGTTGTTTTGTTGTTGTTGGAGGCTGTAGGGTTTTCTATATGTAAATTGTGTTGTCCACAACATCTTCTACTTAGATGCCTTTTTTTCTTTTTCCTTCCTAATTTTTCTGGCTAGGGCTTCTAGTACTATGTGAATAAAAGTGGTAAGAGTGGCCATCCTGTCTTGTTCTTGATATTAGAGGAAAAGCTTTCAGCTTTTTGCTCTTGAGTATGATGATGGCTGTGGGCTTGTTAGATATGGTCTTTATTATATTGATGTACATTCCATTTATACCCACTATATTGAGAGTTTTTATTGTAAATCAATGTTGAATTTTGTCAGATGCTTTTTCTGCATCTGTTGAGATGATATGATTTTTATCATTCTTTTTGTTAATGTGGTATATCGTGTTGATTGATTTGCAGACATTGAACCATCCTTGCATTCCTTGAATAAATCCCACTTGATAATAGTATCATATCCTTTCAGTGTGTTGTTGAATTTAATTTGCTAATATTTTGTTGAGGGTTTTTGTGTCTGTGTTCATCAGAAACATTGACTTGTAATTTTTTTGTGTGTGGTGCCCTTATTTTGGTATCAGGATAATGCTGCTTTGTAAAATGAATTTATGCATATTCTCTACTCTTCGGATTTTTGTAAGAGTTTGCAAGGGATCAGTATTAAATCTTTGAATGTTTGGTAAAATTAATCAGTGTAGCCATCTGGTCCTGGACCTTGTTGGGAGTTTTTTGATTACTGATTCAGTCTCCTTACTTGTAATTGGTCTGTTTAGATTTTTATTTCTTTGCAATTCAGTCTTGGAAGATTGTATGTTTCTAGGAATTTATTCGTATCTTCTGGGTTGTCCAATTTGTTGGTGTATAATTGTTCATAGTAGTTTGCTATGATCCTTTGTATTTCTTCATGCAGTCCTTTGTGTTGGTTGTAACTTGTCTTTCATTTCTGATTTTATTTATTTGAGCCCTCCCTTTTTTTCTTAGTGAGCCTAGCCAAGGTTTGTCAATTTTATCCTTTTAAAGAACCTATACTTAGTTTCACTGTTCTTTTGTATTGTCTTTTTAGTCTCACTTTCACTTATTTCCATTCTGATCTTTTGTTATTTCCTTTCTTATAATAACTCTGGGCTTCATTTGTTTTTCTTTTTGTCGCTCCTTTAGGTGTAAAGTTAGATTGTCTGAGATTTTTCTTGTTTCTTGAGGGAGGCCTGTATTACTATAAAATTCCCTATTGGAACTCCTTTTGCTGTATATTCCACAGATTTTGTTATGTATTTCTATTTCCATTTGTTTCAAGGTATTTTTTTTAAATTTCTCCTTTGATTTCCTTGTTGGTCCAGTAGCTGTTCAGTAGCATGTTGTTTAACCTCCGTATATTTGCGATTTTTTTCTAGTGTTGTTCTTGTAATATATCTCTAGTTTCATACTGTTGTGGTCAGAAAGGATGCTTGATATGATTTTAATCTTCTTAAATTTATTGAAACTTGTAACCTAATGTATGACCTATCCTGGAGATTTTTTTTTGTGCAGTTGAGAAGAATGTGTATTCTGTTTTTAGATGGAATGTTCAGTATGTGTCTCTGAAGTTTATCTGGTTTAATGTGTTATTTAAGGCTGATGTTTCCTTATTGATATTCTGGATGGATGATGTAACTTGGGTGTTAAATTCTCCTGCTAATATTACATTGCTGTCAATTTCAAACTTCAGGTATGTTTAGGTGCTCCTTTGTTGGGTGCATAACTATTTTTAAATGTTTTATCTTCTTGCTGGATTTACATCTTTATCATTACGTGATGCCTAGCTTTGGCTTTTATTATAGCCTTGTTCTAAATTCTGTTTTGTCTGGTATTAATATAGCTATGCCCAACTGTTTTTTTTTGGTTTACATTTTCATGAAACACCATTTCCACCCCCTCACTTTCAGTCTATGTGTGTCTGTGTGTATCTTTACTTATGAAGCAAGTCTCTTGTAAGCAGCATATAGGTGTTTTTTATTTTTATCCCTTCAGTCACTCTGTCTTTTGATTGGAAAATTTAGTACATTTTCATTTACAGTGAGTATTGATAAGTATGTCATTACTGCTGTTTTATTAATTGTTTCCTGGCTCTTTTGTACTTCTTTCTGCTCCATTCTTTTGTTTTCTTCCCTTTGGTTTGATGACTTTCTATAGTGTTATGCTTAGATTTCTTTCTAATTTTCTTCTGTGTATCTTGTATAGTTTTCTGCTTTGTGGTTACCTTGAGGCTGACATTTAACAGCCTATACACATAATCTGTTTTAAGTTGCTAGCAAGTTAAGTTTGAATGCATTCTAAAACTCTACACTTTCACTTCATTCTCCTACATTTTTTTGATGTCACATTTTATACCTTTTTACTTTGTGTATCCCTTGAATACTTATTGTTTTTAT